TAGCATGGAAGCTAAAATAACGTTGTAGTCAGTGGATCAGTACGTCAAACCCAGAATCTTACCGTACCTTATAATGTCATCTAAGCATGGGAGGCATTGCCATTGTGCATCTAATACAGAATCAATCCTGCTTACAATTTTCTGGAAAGGTTGAAAAAAAAATAACATTTTTAACTGTAATAAAATGTTGAACTTCCTTGGCCAAGTGTTCTCCTGCTAGCACGTGTGGCATCATGGTTCACTCCTCAGGGAACGTCAGTTATTACCCTATGAGTTGGTAGCTAGGAGACCCATACATGCAGAGATTTGACCCTCATCACTCACCTTTTTCCTGCTGCATGCATGTGTTACAAATTATTAAAAGTCATTCGTGTACCATACACACTGCAATCACCAACAGTTTAAGGCTGCCATTTTACTATAACTTTTTAACTGTTTCTTGTGACCTTCAACCAGGAAATCATGTCTATTGGAAGAAACATTCAGGAAAAATACTGTTCTTCAACCACATTGGAAGGAGTCTGTTAAGGTACTTTTAACCAAAACACTGCAGAAAAAATCCAGGGAATCAATTATTGGGTTCATGTTTTACAACAAAAAACCAATTCAGGCTGGATGAGGTGGCTCACACTTGTAGTCCCCACACTTTGAGGGGCCAAGCCTGCAGAATTGCATGAGACAAGGTGTTCAAAAGCAGCTTGGGCAACATAGGCAGACCTAGTTTCTATGAAGAAATGAATAAAAAGAATCAGCTAGGTGTAGATGAAGGGCCCTCTAAACCTAGCAACATGCTACCCAGCAAGCTGAGGTGGGAGGATTCTATGAGCCAGAAATTTAAAATCACAGTGACCTATGATCACACCACTGCAGTTCAACCTGTGCAACAGAGTGAGATCCTATCTCAAAAACAAACAAACGAACAAAAAGAATCAATTAAAAATTTTACACAATTGTAAAGCTACTCAAATAGAGGAAGTTAAACTGTGCATCCTCACATATTCTCTGGCACTTCTGATATTTTGAAGAAGACAGTTGACCTGAGACCTTCAGAATAAGCTGATGATCTCGAATCGTGAAAAGCTTCCACACAAGACATTGGACCAGAATCCTTCTCCGCATACTCCTCCTACTCATTATTCTTTTGCTTATAAATAGTCTTCGCATTTTCTGCAGGCCTGTTTGTTCGCCCATATTGGACTCTTGTCTCTTTTCTTACTCATCATTTTTATACTTGCTATTTAGAGTAAGTCATCAGACTCTATTTTTGTGCCTGACTGCTGATAAATTCAAATCTCTTTCCTCCATCATTTGCTTTTTTTTAAGCACACAAGGTAAATCTAGTTAGAAATCACAGGAGCTCCCTCATTTGATGCCATTTGGACCTTGAAACCCCAAAAAACCCTTCCTGCAAGTAGGATGCTCTCCCCAGCCCCCCACCAAACCATGATAAAAACCCTGAGCCAGTCTCCTTCCCTGCTCTACCAAGCCATTTGGGAGCTTCATGAGAGGCCTGCCCTGCTCTCAGCAGACACCTCAAGGATGTAGGTAATTAACCTTTCCATACTCACTTGGTGTGAGTGTGTTCCATAATCAGACTCAACATCCACGTAAAATTTTAGTTGAGATCTCTTGGCATTTGCATGGTGTCATCTACAACGGATGCTGGGAGCTTGGTGTCATGGCTCCTTCCAAAGGACATGCCTGCTCCCTGAGTTAACTCCAGGACACAGTTGGACATGCCTCCTGGGGTTTGAGAAGCTCCCTTCATGTACTGAAATCCTGTCATTACATTTTTGTATTCTAGTGTTTCCCTAAAAGTATAGTGAGATCCAGGGTTCATTCATGTGTATATTCAGGAGTCTCTGGCTTTTTACGTATTTTGTTCATCTCTACCACCTTTTCTACGAAATTATACAGTATAAAATTTGCAATATTTTAATGATGTGAAATTAGCAAATAAGAATCTTTACATAAATTGTACAATTTTACAAATATTGACGTAATACTCACTTTTATTAACACAGAAAAAATCAATTACTCTAGAAATTTCCTTTTGTTCTCCTGCAGTTTCTCCTTTCTACACCTTCTCTTCTTGTACCACATCCACAGTCAACTATGGATCTTTTTATGCAACTTTAAATTCATTTTTGCTTTATAGAAATTATAGAACTGGAATTATATGTATGAACTTGTATTTTTTTTTTGCCTTCTTTTACTTATTCAGGTACTTGTTATTCCCGGCTAGTTTTTTGTATTTTTTAGGAGAGACGGGGTTTCACCGTGTTAGCCAGGATGGTCTCGATCTCCTGGCCTCGTGATCCGCCCGTCTCGGCCTCCCAAAGTGCTGGGATTACAGGCTTGAGCCACCGCGCCCGGCCAGGTACTTGTTATTTTAAGCATGGTGTTGAGTGATTCCCACAGTGCTTGATTGTAACAGTGGGTATTATTCCAGTAAATGAATTTTCCACAATTTGTTTACCAGTTAAGCTGCTGACTAACACTTGGATCACTTTTGGTCTCTGGTTATAATAAATAAAGCTGCTACTTAGAGAAGTGCCCAGCTGAGAAACACACGGTTCTTATTTTTACAACATAAATGGGTGCCAAAGTGGAAAAGCTGCACATTAACCAATTTGCTTCAATACATCAGATAATTAAAGTTGTGTCAGTTCATGTGTTTTTGTGTGAAAGAGAGAGAGAATGGAGGAGGAGAGATGAAAAAAAAAAAAGAAACCTTACATGTTTGGACCATAATGTATGAGGCACTGTAGTAAATACAGGCACTTAGTGCTTGATGGACAAGGTCCACATAAGATGGAGAGGACAACTTGATGCACCTCCATATGGGTATATATTAGTGTTTACATAAATGCCATTTTCTAATCATATAAACACTCAGATTAGAAGAGATGTAGTGGAGGGTGTCTGGTGGTGAAATATGATGGTGAAAACAACCGATATCTACAGCCCCTTTTCTGCCCTGTTTCACCCGCCCTGATGTTGAGCCTTGATCCTGCTCATCTTAAGCCGCAACAATCATCCTAAGCCCCAAGGTGCCCCGAGTGCCCCCTGCTGGTCCTATCCACCCCTGCAGGGAGGTTTGTGTCTATGCTCACAATGAAGTCCCCTCATTGTTTTTTTTTGCTTAAAAATGCATAATTGTGTATTCACTAGACAAGCGCTCAGCTGTAAGAATTTTTCTTGGATAGGGATATGGACTCTTGAGAAATGGGTTGTAATTTGTGCTCCCTTCACAACCCATGCACCTGACCCACTCCTGTCCGTCTTCAAGGGGTAAGCAGATACACTCTAGCAGGAAGCACTGGTAGTGATGGGGAATTCAGAGACAGTGCAGGTGAGGGAGAGGGTCTGCGAGGACGTCTCAAGCCAAAAGTGCGCTGAGAAACATAGTTGTTGATGTTAACAGGTTCTGGAAAATGCGGTGAAATTCCCCAATACACACACTTTTATGAGAATAAAGAGCTCTCTTTTGTCCAATTTGTGAGTGTCCTAGAACAATTTAGATTTTGAGGTTAAATTCAAAAAATATTATCACATTTCTTTTCTCAAACATGCAACCAAATATAAAAGACAAACTGCTATTAGAAAAAATGAACACTGAATTATTACCACTATGTGTGATAATGATTTTTAGAATAGGATTGACCTGTGATAACCTAGAGTGTCCTAATTCTGAGCCCACAATTAGACCTCAGCCGCAATCACAGGGAGTGAAACACGTGACTCAATGAAGCTGCACCTGGGGGTCTCTGCAGGCCCTGAGTGGTACAGGAACAGCTCCTCCCTTAGACTTAGTTTAAGGACGATTTCTGCTCTTTGCTTGGGGAGGTGAGGGTGAGTGTGTGGGAAGTCCCAAACTTCCTCTAATCAAGATCTCTGCACATGGAGAGAAACCAAAGAATATGAGAAACAACTGGTTTTGGTTTAGATCGAGCAATTCCTCATGAGAAGGGCAATACCATGTCTGGATCCGCACAGAATTAAGAAACAATAAATTTGGGTTAAAGCTGAAAATTACAATTACTTGCAGATTGTGTTATTAATTATCTATGTTATCTGAGAAAACGAAGTAAAATCATGGTTTTTATATGAAAATCCACAAGCAGGGTGCTGGCCCTGAGAATGCACCTCCCATCCCTCCAACATCAGGAAGACCAATAGACCAGGCCACCAGCTGCCTCACTGCACTCTAACACCCATCCGCTGGTGTGTGCCGAAGACACCCATCCTGGGAGCCCCTCCCAGACAACGGCTGTGCACAGTGGAGATCTGAGGCATGGCTGCTGCTGGGACACATGGAAGATCCCTGATGGACAACTGTGCTCAGGAGGCACCAATGGCCTTGCTGGATTTAGCTTGGACCACAGGGTCATTAGGGAAGATCCATCAAACTCCCACCTTTCTCCACCACTAGTTGTGACTCTGGCAATGTGACGTGGCAGTGTCTACAGCCTTACCCGGCGCTTGTGCATTTTTATGCCTTCAATACTTACATCTGTTTTGGGGACATATGAGAATGTTTCCTCTTTTAAATTAGTTTTCTAATCCAGGGCCTCATGGTGGGCACAAAGCATAAATGTACAGGGGTTCAAATGGGAAATGGTAGAAGCAGAGGAAACCACAGACCCTGAAGGAAAGCAGCCCTTGCCTTCCCTCCATCTGCACCTGCCCTGGGGCTGCACCTGTTTCGTGAGTGTTGAGTGTCCCCTTCAGCCCAGACTCCTTTCTTCCTACTGCAGGACATTTTGTGTCTGGACTCACACTGATGTTTCCTCATTTGGGACCTTATGTACAGCCATACATGGCCATGTCCTCAGCTCTCAGACTGTTCATTTGCAGATACAGCGAGTTCTTAGCATTGTTTTGGAGATTGAGAATCTGCCCTTCACAAAGTCTGCATGGTATATCTGACTTCCATCATATTTCATATCTATTACTCACTCCAGCCCCTTCCCTGGAGACTGGTGAACTCAGCTAATTCAGAAGCTACTGCAGGCGAATCTGGAGGCTACACAGGAGAGTCTCAGGAACTTCCCAGGTTTTCTCAGGTCCTCTATGGACTCAATCAGCTGCACCTCACACTGAACACCTGCAAATGCACGGACATCTCGGTCAGAAACTGCCAAACATATCCACTGTTTCTCTTGCTCGTATCCACTCACTCTCATTCACTCTATTTCTCTATGAGTCACCTTTTAAAATAGCAACAAGAAGAATTCAGCTTAGTTCAAACCCCATAGTAGGTCCTCTGTGTTCAGTCCTGATTACCAAATGGAAAACCTTGGGAATCCCAGGGTTGTGGCTCTTCTCCCAGAGCTGGAGAGCCAGGTCTGGGCTTGTTTTCACCAGGAGGGGAGGGCCCTGTTTTCATGCCTCCTCCTCTATAGCAAGCTCCAGCGTGGGACGCTTGAGAAGAAGGCAGTGCCCAGAGCAGATGGCAGACTCCAGGAGGAGTTTAGTGGCAATGGTAGCATTTGGAAATATATTACTTATAATGTGACCGTGCCATAAAACTCACTTAACAATTATGATTTTATTTTTTACACATGTGTACAAATACAACTACATTAAGGAAACTGTAAGAGATGTAAAGAGAGAAATAAAAAACAACATAAAAATAAGAGAAGACCTTAATACCTCATGAATAATGTATAGCAAATCCAGAAAGAAAATTCTTAATATGCCTCTGAGTTTGAACAACACTATTGAACAATTTTACCTGAAAGACATTTACAGAACCTTCCGACCAAGAGCCACGTAATACACATCCTTCTCAAGCACACATTGAACATTCTCTGTGATACGTTATATGTTACATCATAAAATGAGTCTTAATATTTAAAGAAGGAATGCCAGCCCTTCTGTATTTCAAAAATTGGTGAGGAGTCACCCTTCCAAACGCTTTTTTTATATATAGTAAAGAAATGTATCTGTTTCTCAGAGATAACCTGTAGTCACAGATTTGCATACAATACAATTATGTGTTGGCTATTTACAATTTACAGTAGTGATTTTTCCTCTGAAAAATTAGGCCGGCTAAGTAAACCAATGAAGGTATCCATAATGCCATTTAATGATGTCTCTACTAATAAAGCTTAAGAACTGGCTTTTAGCAAATATTCAACAAATCAACCTGAATAAAATAGTCAATTAAATGATTTATTCTTTCTAATTTATTAGAAAAAAATCCACTAAGTTTCACCTCAAAATGTGTTGCACAAGTCTAAAAATAAACCTAAAAATAAATAGGAAAGTTAAGCAGTTCTTCAAAAAGAATGGAAGAAAGGAATATAATGTAAGTCCATAAACCATGTTAAGTCATTCTAAATATCTTTTAGGCAACATAAAATTCTTCCCAAGAGAAAACTGAGGAAAAAACTATCACCATCTCTCCACTGATAAAATGTATTTTAAAGTCAGTCTGCAATATACCTTCTAAACTCTTTCTATGAGGATACCATTATAGTTTTACCAGTAATAAACAAAGGCATCACAATAAAAGAAAACTACAGACCAATATCATTAGTAGACATAACTTAATCCCCAACAATAGTAAACTAAATTCTAAAGTCTTTTAAAAGACCATACACCATGAGCAACTCAAATTCACTCCTGAGATGCACAGTTGATTAAACATCCTCAAATCAATCAATTTGGTACACCACATTAAAAACCTAAGGAAAAAATATCTCAGTAACATATCATCAGACACAGGAAAAAAAATGAAAAAATTAGGGTTTCATTATAAAAACTCTGTACAAAGTAGGAAGACAAGAAAACAACATTTACACAGTAAAAACCATTAAGAAAAGTCACGGCTGTTATTGTACTTAATAGTAAAAAGTTAGAATATTTTGGTCTAATATCTGTAACAAGGCAAGAATAAAGCTTGAGTATTTCACTTCTAGGCCTCAATATTTATTACAAACATAGAAAGGTATTGGCATAAATGCATATAGAGAGCTTAGATATAAACCAATATATTGATGATGAACTGATTTTCAGCATGAGAACCATCAATATAAAATGGCTAAATTATAGTGTCTTCCAAAGAGGGTGTTATGAAAACTGGATTTTCACATAAAAAGAATTAAGAATTTTAGGTTAGAATAAACACAAAAATTCACTCTAAATGCTTTAAATATTTAAATGTAATACCTGCAATTGTAAAACTCCCAACCCTTAAAAATTAGCAATCTTTTTCTGGATTTTACATTCGAAGCACCTACAAAATAAAGCAGAATTGAACAAGTGGGAATAGATTATAAAAAAGACTCCGCAAAGCAACAAAATAATTACAACTTACAGAACTGGATAATATGCCATATATCTGAAAATTTTTAATGTCCAAATGTAAAAGAAATTTTTGCAACTCAATAGCAACAAGAAAAATAGCCTCATTTTAAAATAATCAGTTTTACACCTTGAACTATGTGACAACCTAGATCTCATGTTAAATGTTTTTCTCCATGGGTAGCGGTCCGTCTTATGGTGTATTTGGCTGGGCAATACTTTGTAGTTATTTGATCAAACACTAATCCAGGTGGTGGTGTAAATTTTTTAATAGACATCATTAAAGGTGTAAGTTATCAGTTGACTCTATGTTAGGTAGATTATCATTGCTAACCTGCTTGGCCCTGATTCCATCAGAGCAGAGTTGGAGAAGGTAAAACTCCATGGTGATTACGCCGTTTCAGCTCTTTCTGAGACTTCCAGCCTGTACTTACTGATGGCTGGCCCTCAGGATATTGGATGTTTTCAGCCATCCCCCAAAATTGTCATCCCCTCCATCTCACAGGAAAGTGGTATGTCCCTCTGCAGCTTGTCAAACCTAAATATCAGACAGAAAGAGACTCCCCAAAATCAAATACTATTTATTCGAAAATGAGCATTGCAATGGGAATATGCGTGGGCACATTTAAGTAGGTAAATGAAGACAAGTGTTTTAAAAGATAACTGAGGAGGCTTACATGAGCTATTTTGAGACAATTATTGTAGTTCTTGTTATCAAGGATGTGTGCATGAGAACTCTCTATTCATGACCTTCTCCAGCTTCACCTGTAAAGATTATAACCCAAGTGGCTCCATTTCGATTCTGACAACTTTCACACCCTCTTCCTCACACCACTAGTAAAGAACATTACTCTGTGAAAGTTTATCAGAACAGGATTAGAAACACATCCATATCCTGTGTTAACCAAACAAGCTTGTCCCCTTCAGTTCCCACTGGCAACCTGTATTTACAGATGAGTCTCCATGCAACACAGTGAAGGGTCCTGAGTGAGGAGGAGTGAAGAAAGTCCCACCAGCCTCTCCTGCGTGACTGCAGCAGCCACAGCCTGAGACCCACCTGAGCTCCAGGGAAAGGGCTTGAGGCCTGGAATTTTGACCACAGGGAAAATATCTTCCTTTTCCAGAAAGCAGGAAAAGCAAACGGAAAAATGAGAACAACAACTAAAAAAGGCAGTACATGAATTAGGAAAAGAAGCTCCAGATCAGTATCGATGCTGATTTGCATACTTCAGTGTCAGGAGAAGGGTCCAACGAGAAACCTGTGAGGTTCTACATGACACTGACCCTGGCCCACCCTCCCTTTTTGCTGTAATCAGAATCCCTAAAGACTGTTCCTGTTGGGATTCACTCAGGGTGGTGGCAGAAATATTAAAGGGACATATTAGGGAAAGTTATAGGGAATATTCACAAACCTTTTGGAAGGCTGAAAGGTTACATAGCTTGTAATAATTGAACAGGCTGAAGGCGGCCGGTTCTAACCTTAGAGCATTAGGCATAGGGTAAATACTAGGGTTGATGAACCTCTTGGGGGAGGTCGACCAAGGATATCACACCCTAATGGTATTTACTTTAGACTGCAGTCCCTGAGCTTTACTCCTTCATAGAATTACTCTCTTAATCATGTTAATTATCCACAAGTGTGTTGACTCAGAGCTTCTGTTGTGAATTCTATACTAAATAAACGCCTGGAGCGCGAGCTGCTCAGGGCCGCTGCTGCCATTCTTTACAGGCCGCTCCTTGGAGTCAGTCAGCGGCCTCGGACCCTCAGCTGAACTGGCAAAGCGGAATACCTGTGTCAGTGTACGTTTTAGTCACCCGCCGCCGAATCAGGGGTCTGCAGGAACAGCCGCCCGCAGCTAGCGCCCTCTTGTGAGGAGCCATACTCAGTTCTAGTCAGGAATCTTCCTCAGGTTCCTGTCCTGAGTCTGACTGGAGAAGACTCACCAGGAAGCCTGAGCTTCCTCAGGACTCTGATCGTGGCGACCATGGCTGGGAACTTCTCATCTCCTCGGTAAGGATCGTCTGCATTTTGTACATATGAGAATAGGTTTTCATAGTAAAACAATCATTTAAAAAATACGTAGAGATGACATTAGTAACCAGAGAATTCTGAACTCAGAGAGGTTCACTAGAGGAACTGTAGAAAGATGACGTCCCACATCCTGACAGGAAATCAGCCTCCGTGTGCACCGGCCTCTGGGTTGACTCTGATCAGTGGGTCCCGAGCGCCCCCTGCCGCTGATTTCCCCCCGCGTTCCTGCAGGGAGGTTTGTGTCTGGGCTCACACTGACCTCCCCTCACTGTGTCTCCCGCACAGTAATAGAGAGCCGTGTCCTCAGCTCTCAGGCTGTCCATTTGAAGATACAGTGTGTTCTTGGCGTTCTCTCTGGAGATGGTGAATCTGCCCTTCACGGAGTCTGCATAGTATGTGCTACTACCAGCACTATTAATAGCTGAGATCCACTCCAGCCCCTTCCCTGGTGCCTGGCGAACCCAGTGCATCCAGTAGCTACTGAAGGTGAATCCAGAGGCTGCACAGGAGAGTCTCAGGGACCCCCCAGGCTTTGCCAAGCCGCCCCCAGACTCCACCAGCTGCACCTCACCCTGGACACCTGCAAACAAAAAGACACCAAGGTCAGAAACTGCCACAAATATCCACTGTTTCTCTCACTCATGTCCACTCACACTCAATATCTCTATTTCCTCATGAATCACCTTTTAAAATAGCAACAAGGAAAACCCAGCTTAGGCCAAACTCCATGATGAGTCTTCTGTGTTCAGTGCTGATCACAAATGAAAACACCTGGGAATCCCAGGGCTGGGCTCCTCTCCTAGAGCTGCAGAGTCAGAGCTGGGCTGGTTTTCATCAGGAGAGGGAGGGACCTATTTGCATGTCTCCTATTATATAGCAAGCTCTGGGGTGGGACGCCTGAGGAGAGGGCAGGGCCCAGGGCAGATGAGAGTGTCCCTGGGGATTTGATGACAAGGATTGCATTTGGGAAAATGCTGTCTTACTGTGAAAATGTTCTGTTGATAAACATTTAATAACTATCACATTTTTAATTATGTTTACCTGTGTGTATAAATTATGGTGTTTAGGAGTCAATGGTTTCTTCATTTATAGATGTAAAAGTGAACCCACACATGGAGGGTCTCTGTATGTGTCTGAGGGCTTATATCTGGCATGAGTGAGTGCTAGAATCTGGGCCTATGCTCCTCCTAGCAGACCTCCATTGCTCTTTTAACTACCTCTGGGACAGAACTAAACGTGCCTAGTGTGGTTTGTAAAATCCACTTCCTGTCACAAAAACCTGTCTTATTTTGCTGCATTTACCTGAAAATATGGAGACAAGGTTCAGACATATAAATATTTAGGTATACCTGACATTTAACATATTTATTTGTTCCTTGCTATATTTCTTTTTTTGTCGAAAATGTCAGTTGTTTACTTGTAATAAATTTTATAAGTTTTAATTGACAGAAAATAAAATTCAAATATTTAACCTGTACAATAGAAAACATTGAAAAAAACCCCTATTTTCAAGAAAGTGACAAGTCAACTCCCCTCAACGTTCTTCTTGTTCTCTTACGTTTTTTTGTTTTTCCTCCTTCCCTTATTCTACCATTTCTTTATAAAACTACTGATGTTTTCATATTTCTTTAGACCAGCATTTATTTTCTAGAACTTATAAGAATGAAATAATATAGTATGTACTCTTATCTATTTGGCTTATTTTTCTCAGTAGAAATACTGAGAATTAAACCTTTTTATTGTGTGTGTTTATTTCTTATAAATATTGGGTAGCATTTCAGCAAACAGATGTAGCATAATTTGTTTTTCTATTAAGCTGCTAATTGATACTTGAATTTTTTATTACTCTAGGTCTTATTAATAATTCTGCTACTCAGCTTCATAATGTACATAAATTATTAATTATACATAACTTATATAAATGTTTCCCTTTACAAATACAATAACAGATTAAACAAGAGAATGAGCAGTTTGGCAAATTTTCTTTAATATTTCAGATCATTGAAGTTATGAGATAAAAAAAGAAACCTGTAAACCAAAGAGTATCGTTGACTAATCTCAATAGATTTAGGAAGTTCATTTTTCCAAGATTAAGGACATGCCAGTGACACAGCCTCAGGGAGTCCTGAGGATATATGCCCCAGATTGTGGGGCACAGCTTGGTTATATACAGTTTAGGGGGACATGAGACATTAATCAATATATGTAAGAAGTACATTGGTTTGGTTCAGAAAGGCAGGACAACTTGAAGTGGGGAGAGAGCTTACAGATCATAGTTAGATGTGAGAAAAATGGTTGCATTCTTTTGAGTTTTTGATTAGCCTTTAACCAAATGCACAATTTGCAGGAATAGTCACATAGGCCTACTATTCATGCAGAGAAACAATAGAGCAAAGGTAACAATCAGAATTGCATTTGACTGACGTGAGCAGAGAAATTATTCTGCCTGTTGTTGGTTCACAAGGGTTTTCCTTGTGGTGAAATTCTGAAGGAGGCATGCAGCTTTTTAAAACCTTAGTAGCTGTCATTTGAGGGAAGGAACAGAGGCGTGTTTGCCCAGCTGTTTCCAGCTGCACTTTGCCCTTGGGCTTGTGATTCTGGGTCTCAAAATTTATTTTCCTTTCACGCACAAGGAAATCTTGGGGGAAACGAGTTTTTGTAGAAAGAACCAAGCAGGAAAGCAGCTGTTAACCTTTTTGTGCACCTCCCTCTGGGGTTGACTCTGATCAGTGGGTCCTGAGCATGCCCTGCAGCTGATTTCCCCCATGTGTCCCTGGAGGTTTGAATCTGGGCTCGCACCGGCTTTTCCTCAGGTGCTTCTCTTGCACAGTAATGTAGTGATGTGTTCTTGGTTTGCAGATTGCCCATTTGCTGATACAGCATCTTCTTTATATTGTCTCTGGAGATGATAAATCTAAGACAAATAAATATTCTGTCAGACCAATAGATCCTGAAAAAAACTATTTCCAGCACATTATTTCTTCAGTAGACATATTAGCAGAGTTTCCAGGTGAGTAGCCATATGAAATACATCCAATACCTGAATCTATAAAAAAAAAATACAGATTGTCAAAAATGGAAAAACTAGGTTGAAATTCAGTTTTTACATTTTTATTTTCTTTATAAAGTGTGTAAAGCAATTATAAAATGCCAATATCACATTTTTATAGCATATGTAAGTAGAAACTGAGAAAAAAATGAGAAAATAATACAGATCAGAGCATAACATGCAACCTATCAAGACTGAATTATAAATTTAAAAAATGAGCAGACTAATAGGTAAAGAGATTGAATCAACTGTCACAAAGCTCCCCAAAAAGGAAAGACCAAGATTAGATGGCTTCATTTGAGAATTTTATTATATATTTAAAAGTTATCATCAATTCCTTTGAAACTTGTATGAGACATTGAAGAACAAGTAACAGTACTGACCCCATTTTATGCAACTAGCATTACCACGATGCCAAGTTAGCGACATAAGTTATAAAAATGAAAATTAGAAGCCAAGGATATAATAAACAAAGATGTGAAAATACTGAAAAAGAATGTTAGTAAACCAATTTTGATAGTGTATGATAAGATATAAAACTTAGGTATTAGGCTTAATACCTAAGTAATGGGTTGATAGGTGTATCCAACCACCATGGCACATATTTACCTATGGAATAAACTTGCACATACTGCGCATGTACCTCAGAACTTAAAATTAAAATTTGAAAAGGAAGAAAAACATAATGAAGTTAGATTTATTTCTGGATGTGATTCAACAAGTGCAAATCAGCCAATGTGCACTTGCTGAATCACCTCCAGAAATAAATACACCACATTAAGAAAATGTAGAATAAAACGGTGTGGTCATATCAATAGTTACACAAAAGCATCTAAGATAATTCAAGCCTTTTATGATAAAATCTCTCAGGTATGAAAAGAGCACACCTCAACATAATAAAAGTCCTGTATGAAAGCCCACTGATCACAACATATGCAAAGGCAAAAAAATAAAAATAAAAAATGATAAGACATATATAAGGTCAGAAAACAGAAAAGTATGCCCACTCTCAAAATTTCTATTCCTCATAGAACTTCTAGTCAAAACTGGAGTAATTAAGCAATAGAAGAACATAAAATTCATTTAATTAAGAAACAAAATTATTTCTGCAAATAGCATGATTTTTTGTTTGAAGGGATACTTTCTTACCTTCATTATCTTTTTAATGATTTTGCATATGCAGAACCTTAAGGGCTCCAACAAAGACATTAGAATTATAAATAAATTAAGTAAATTTGGATGATACATAAACAGCATACAAAAATAAATTGCATTTTTTTACATTAACCACAAGTCATCTAACAGGAAATTTAATAAAGCAAGCTAATTCTCAATAGTAATAAAAATAATAACATACATGTGAACAAATTTAAGCACAAGGTTAAGATATTTTTATCCTGAAAATAAGAAAATGCTGAAGAAGAAAATTAAAGAAAGAGCACATAAATGGAAAGGAACCTATGTTAATGAATAAGAACAATTAATAGTGTTAAAATGTCAATAGAACCAAAGTAATCTACAGATTCAAAGCAATTTGTATCAAAATCCCAATGGCATGCTTTACAAATACAGAGGAAACATTCTAAAATTTATATGGAATCACAAAGACCCCAGCTAGCCTAAGCAATCCTGACTAAGAACATGGTGGAAGTATCACACTTTGTTCATATTCTAGTACAAATGTATAATAATCAGATAAGTAATGATATGATTTGGCTGTGGCCCATCCAAATCTCATCTTGAATTTCCAGGTGTTGTGGTAGGTAAATGAATCACTGGGGCAAGTCTATCTCATGCTATTCTTGTGATAGTGAATAAGTCTCAGGAGAGCTTATGGTTTAAAAAGAGGAGTTCCCCTGGACAAGTTCTCTGTTTGCCTGCTGCCATCCATGTAAGATGTGACTTGCTCCTGCTTGCCTTCCAGCCTGATTGTGGGGCTTCCCTAGCCACATGGAACTGTAAGTCCAATTGAGCCTCTTTGTTTTGTACATTGCCCAGTCTAGGGTATGTCCTTGTCAGCAGTGTGAAAATGGACTAATACAAGTATTTCACTGAAAAAAAGGACAGATACTTCAATCAATGGAACAGAATACAGAACTTAAAATAAATTCAAAAATAGATGCTCAACTATTCCTCAATAAGCAAGCAAAATATGCAAAGGATTTTTTTCATTTTTTTGAAAAACTGGATATTCATATGCAGTGGAATGAAACAGTCCCTATCATACATCATACATAAAACTTCACATGTATTAAAGGCAAACATAAGACCAGAAATCATGATACTTACAGAAAAAATGTAAGAACAATATCTTTGATATTTGTCTTGGATACAATTTTTCACATAAAACACTGACAGTTCAGGTAATAAAATCAAGAATAAGTCAGTGGGATATTATCCAGCTATAATCTTTCTGCACAACAAAGAAAATAAGTACCAAAATGAGAGGGCTCAGTATGATGTGGGAAACATATTGACAAACAACATATCTGATAAGGGTTAACATACAAACTATGTAGCAAATCTCATTATTCAGTAACAGAAAGCTAATACATATATACACACATACATATAAACATACATAACTTGATTAAACACGGGAAAGAACCTGAATATACATTTTAAAATTAACATACAAATGATGAAAATGTATGTTAAAACGTTCTCAACATCACTAATAATTAGTAAAATGCAAGTCCAAGTCACAATGAGATATCTCATCATACC